ATCCTATGTTTTGCTGTATATTATGTGTACTGTATATGTACTGTATCAAACGACTACAATCTGCTCAAAATATAGATGTTTCATATCCTGATCAATAATCAGGACACTTTCACAGATGCATTAACATTCTGAAGTAGTGAACACTGCAGCTGAGAGGAAATTGTTTTGGAGGCTGTTAGGGAATTATGTAGGAATCATAAGGACATCATCAGAGTTAAATTCCTTGTACCACAGCCCTTCTCTGTGGTCACAGCGGCAAAGAAAATGACAGCCTGTGTATTTCTCTTTCTGTCTCACAAGACATACATTTCAGGTAGAGCTGTGGATCACTGTGCACCATGAGAAAAAACTTTGAAACTAATAAGTTGAATGGAGTCAAAGTTGAACTGAAAGTAAGCTAGACATAACCTAAAAAGAGTCCAGTGTCTTGGTCACCATCAGCTCCTAAAGTCATGCCACGCTACTGCTGGTTTTAATAAGAATCTCACAACAGCAGGTAATCTTATTTACCATATGCTAATCACAGTGCAGCAGATGGATGATGGCATTCTGGTCTTTTCTGTGCTTTCCTTGCACTTGTCAATTCAAGCCCTGGGAAAAAGGCTTGTATCCAGATTGATAGCACATGGATGTTCTCTAAGGGCTTGACTCTTTCATCAGTGCAGCATTGCAGAAAGGACTGGAAATCCTTTCTCTATAAATGTAAATGCAGTTAGGGATAGTTGGTGGTTCTGAAGACGATTTATTATGTCTGTCTCAAAGTTGTCAGAAGGTAGGTCAGTCTTTAAAGAACAGATTACCCAGAGATGATCAGTGGGTAGAAGAGTGCTATGGAATATCACATAAAGCATCTCCTCAAAGAAATTCATAAACAGGAAAAATCAACTTATAGGTACTGATGATGGTTAGTCTGGGCATATCCCTGGTTCACTAACATGTATGAGCCTTCAGTAACAAAATTAAGTCTTCATAATGCAATCTGGATCTATATTATTGAGTTTTTAATTGTTTTTTTGTCTGTGAAGGAAATTTTACATGGTAGACTCTAAATTAAATGGAAAACTAACAGCTAAGTAGACAGTTGGTGTCCTTGGAATGGAAGAGTAAAATAACAAAAAATGTCTGAGATTACAACTAAAATAACTTTTAATAATCTTTTAATAATCTACATGAAGTCCTTCTCTCTGTAAACAAGCTCATTCAAACGTGAAATTTAGCATTATTTATTTTGCTGCTACAGTCGTACAAATCTGAGGACCAAGCCTGCTCAGGGATTTTCAAGTAGTGTGGCAAGTATTTTTTCAAGAAACTAATTAGACAATCCACAGAATTTTCAAAGTGAGTTAAGAAGGAAGATAAAACTTCTGTTACCATATCTTTATACTTAATCAGATTTTAAAGGTATTACCCAAATTTCTCTGATTCACTTTGCACATTTATTCTAGCAAAATGATGAGTCCTCTAAGAGGGCTTAGAGGACTGCTTGGGAACACCTCTTCAAAGTGTTTCTGGCTAAGTACAAAGAAGAGCAAGGCACTCAGTGCTGTTACATCTGAAGCCTATTCTCTCCCACTGGAGACATTCAGTGACTGCCAACCACTGGAGCATGGAAATGTCTTCATGTTTTCTTTTTTTTAATGTCCTGCATGAAGCATTAATGGCCACTTCTAGTGACAGATCCTGTTTTGAAAAGATGTTTGCTCTGATCTAGAACAGTTTTAGTGACATTACCCATCTTTTCAAACAGGTTAGTCTTCTGCCAGCCTAGGGAACTGAAGTAGCTCCACATGGAAGGGGCAGGTCATCATAAGAGGCAGTACAAAAGAGTGGGAAAAGAGCACATTGTATGAGGATGGAAACTGGGACCTTGTCAGGCATGAGCTGAGTTGACTGAAACTGCCATGGGATTGTAGGCTCCTTCTACACACCTGGTTTCTAAAGTTATTTTTACACAAGAATGAACAGCATTTTATCCCATTTTAAATGAAAGCAAAGATACCAGTCCCTGTAACATTCAACTCCTGACCTCCCCTTCATGAAGAAGGGTCCTCTGTGAACTTCCTGGTCTCTGTAGTCTTCTCAGTCTGTACTAAAACTAGCAGCAGTGATCTGTAGGAGTGTCATTAACAAAAAATTTCTCCTGTCACAGGGTTCCAGTAAGTTGAATGGGATTCCAGCATGAGTTAGATCAGCTATCCAGGGAGTAAATATGTGTCCTGTAGTGCTTCCATACCCTGGGTTTCAACTGAACTGGCCTGTGATACTGGGGTTCCTCTTTTTCTTTGCTCTGTACAACACTGAACCAATGGGCTGCACTTAATAAGAACTAAATGGTATAGAGAGATTTTTCACAGGGTCACAGCACAGTTGAGTTTGGAAGGGAAATCCAACTCCCACTGCTCAAGCAGAGACTCCCAAAACCAGGACAATGTGCTTTTGAATATTTCCAGTGATGGAAAAACTGCAGCTTCTCTGGGCAATCCATGCCAGTGCTTTACCTGCACAATAAAGAGGTGTTTCCTGATGTTCAGATGGTGGTCCTGTGTTTTTAGTTTGTGACCATTGCCTTTCAAAAACCTTGGACTATTATAATGAAACATGTTGCTAAAAATGATGTGTCTCTTTTATTTTTAGAGATCGTGGCAAAAAGGGAAAAATCCATTAACATAAGTTATATGCATTTCCATCATATCTCTTCCACTTTCCTGAAGAAAGTGCAGTATAGTGGGTTAATGGTAAATGAATCTCTGATCTCCAAATATCAGTCCTTTATTTACCTATGTACTAATTTCTGAACATACAATTTCAAATTAATCTCTGACGATCCTTTATACTTCAAATTGTCCTATGTATCTTAAATAGCAGCTGCCACAATCTGATAAAAATACAGAGAAATATTAACTGTTTTAATCCAAACATTTACCAGAGCTGTGAGCCTGTAATTTTTAGAGTACAGAAAATAGGAAAGATGCAGTATCTTTAGAGAACTTAAATGCCATAAATAAACAGCTGCAACTTCATATAGCTGTGCATCACTCTGAAATCATAATCTCAAGATAAGAATGTTCTTCCCAGTCTGAGCACTCATGACCAGTTTGAATAGAAATGATTCACTCGGAATTTGGGAAGCAAAGAAAAGCGGTTGAAGTGAATTATTCAGGAATTGTTCCTGAAGAGGAAAATACCATAAGGTCAGGACTTCACAAAATGGTTATGAGCACTGACCATTAACCTAGGAGAATGCTTTGGGTGATGTGTTGTATCTATGTATTATGAATCAGTTTTGAAATTTTCTCTTCAATGGGTTATGTCAAATAGACCTGACAACATTGCAGTGAAGGCTTAGTGAATCAGTCTCCTGCTCTTTTAGTCCTCTTAATATAATTTGTAATGCCTTTGAACCCTCTTTCCTCCCCTCCTGTTCCTGACTATGCTTCCATGCATTTTTGAACCAGATTTGTCTAAGATATAGCCTAAATTTATCCACATCTCTCCAAAATTGCAAATGATAAGCTGGAGTTAAGCCAGCTGACTTTACAGGAATGTGCGTAGTCGTGCCTGGTAGATCACAGTCTCTGTGGCTTATCTGATCAATGCAGAGAGATATTAATTCCAAATGCATATTTTGTGCTCGGAGGTAGCTTTGATATAGCTAATTTGTCCCTTTCATTGAAAATACATCTCAGCCTTCAGTCAGTTTGTGGCCAGGACTATATGAAGTATCACCCAAAGCTGCCTGGAATTTGTCTGCCCATATGAAAACCATGAAAAAGTTAAATTGGACAAAACTCTTTGTGGAACACTATTAGACAAGTTAAATATCTGTCTTTTTGTCTGGAAGTAGGCAAGATAAATGGCTCTTATACAGGAAAACAGTGAGTTGTATTGTAGCTACTGCAGAGAATTTCACATATGCTCTGCCGTGTTGTGCTGGCACGACTCCGATGCAGCATGAAGCAAGGGCACATTGCTCACAGTGTTAGCACATATGATTAAAGATACAGCAAGACAAGAAGCAGTCTCTTAGAAGACTTTTTAAAACCACTTATTTAGTAAAACCAGTGCTTCCAAATCACTGAACAAAATAAACAGCCCATGGGGAATGCTTGATCTTATTATAATCTGAACTACCAGCCACTCTGCTGCCATAGCCCAGAATATTCAGATGTTCTGGATACCTTCCAAAATTTCTCTCTCCATCAATCTCTAGATAGTGGTTTTAAAGTGGTTGGGACTTTTTTTTTAACTTCACTTCTCTCTTTTTTTTTTCTTCTTGTTTTAAAATACTTTTTTTATTTGCTTTAATTGTTTTTACTTATGAATCTTTAAGAACTATACAACATATAATGCACAAAAATATTAATTTCCTGAACTAATTTCTTTTACCTTATTGAATGGAAGTACGAACTATATGTTTATACCAGTAATAACAATACTGTGGTTGTTTTCTTCAGAGCACACGCATGCATTACCAGATGAAAGCGAAGGTATCACAACTGTCTTCTGTGACTTCTGAAGCATCACCACCTTTTGGTGATGAAATCGCCAAAATTTTTCTTCTAATTTTGTTGATCTGTCTGGGTTTTTTTTTTGGTTTTAATGAGGACTCTGCTTTTTCAATATACCCCAGGACACCTGGTTACAGTAGGCTTTTGCAGTCATGCTTTAGCCTCATGGGAAACTGATTTTAGCAAAGTGCCACAATGGAACAGCAATGTCTTTGGGGTGAGCATTACACCAGTTTCCTAGAAGGATGAGCTTTTTAATAAACCCTGCTTTGCCACATGTATCAGCTTTTTCAACTGTCTATAAACCAAGCTTACCTGAGCAAATCTCTCTCACACATACATATGATCTGTCTAAGCTAAGGGACCACACTGACATAGATCAAGCAAAAGTGAAAAGCCATTGCACATATAGGTAATTTTAATCCATTCCATTTTTAAATACCACAATAAATTTAATTTTCACAATAAATTAAATAGCCATATTCAGTTTACAAAATAGAATTACTTAGTGTGAAACCAGTATTTACAAACATTGTACACTATGTACACCATGTTTAGCTTTGTCAACACACAAGTATAGAAGAAAAAATTATTTTACCTTTTCTTGACACATGATTGACATGCTACAAGTGACACTATGGTCCATACAATAAAACAATAGTGCAAACTCACCACAGGAACTCTAAAACAAAGTAGTTTGTATGAGATAAGATATTCATTTAAAATAATAAGAAAATAGTACTATTCACTCTTGTTGTAAAAATGCAGCACTGTGTTTAAAGTGTCAGTATTCCTTTAGCAATACACATACCAAACATAGCTTCAAGATTATGTTTTCTCACAGCTTTACAGACTTTTGACAAGAATTTTTATGGCATAAACTAATGTTCTGCTTAGATCAATAAGTATGTCACATAAACACCTCACTAAGCAAGAGGAACACTGACCCTTTTAACACTGTCTGACTGTTTCCCTAAATACTTCCTTTCCCTTTATTATTATATCTTAAAAGATGCAACTATATTGACAGTAGATTTATGTTAGTTACTACTCTGTAGAAAAAATCAATCCCACCATATATTTGGTCACACACTGCATTATGTACACATATGCATGAAAAAAGTTACTTTGCTAGCCGTATCAATGAAAAGTGCATATTTCAGCAGAGGCATCCTATTGCATGCCTCAGGTGCAACAGAAAGTGTTGTATGAAGTTTAGTTTAGGGCCAGTTAAATGTCCTCCCCGTGATCTGGTAAAATTTTTGATTAAAAGGATGGAAGAACTTGCGCAATTTGGTTATGACAGAGGTATCCACCTCTGGATGGATGCGTCCCTTGCTACCCGCCAGGCACTTGTTAAAGACAATGTTAAATCGCAAGCAGTAAAACCCTCTGGTGGCATTGAAGTATAAATTGTACTGACTTATCCTCGGAGGAAGATTTAGGAACTTCTCAACCAGCTGGAGCTCTGGCAGTGGCTCCGTGATGAGCCGGTCTCCGTCCACGATGTGAAATTGCTCGATTGGGAAGTATTTTAACCACCTTTCCAGATGTTTTGTGTAGATGCTGGTTCTCACTGCCTTATACTTAGTGTTCACTTCGCAGGTATTAGGATCAATAGCCAGCTTCTCAAATTTGTAGTAAGTTTTGTTCTTTCTTTCCTTGCCTTCCAGCACCTGAGTGTAATCAGAAATAGCTCTGGTGGTAGGTTCCCTGACAATGATCAATAATTTGATAGATGAGTTCATTTTGTAAATCCTTTCAGGTACTTCCTCAGTGATAAAATACGCGGGGCTTTTCTCAATTGTTATTTGATGAGGGTAAGAAAAAGGCATTTTTTTCCGATACCACTCGATTCCCTTGGCATAATTTTCATCATTGTCAAAGAAGTGAATCTCTTGAGAAGCTTTGACCACTGCAGGGTGAAGGTTCAGCATCTCCAGTAGTGCTCGGGTGCCTCCTTTCCGCACCCCAATGATAATGGCCTTGGGAAGCTGCTGAACCAGATTGTGCAGTCGAATTTGTTCCTTGGTGGCATTGCCCTTTCGAAATTCATGGAGCAGACCTCGCTTGAACTGCAGGGCTCGCAACGGGATTTCGTCCTGGCCATGGGGTCCAAAACGACCATCAATGGGGCAGAGGGGCTGCAGTCTGAAAGTAAAATAAGAGGTACTTGTAAAAGGAGGACATCTCTCAAGAAAAGTTTCATCTATGAGGGAATCCTGCTCTTGGGAACATTTTCAAATGTAATGCGATGTGCCCATCTTCCAACTTTTATTTTATTCTGCCAGTGGTTAAATAATTTGCAATTTTTAAATTATTTAATCTGTTTTTTTTTACTCTGATTTAGCTGGGAAATTTCACGATCTGTCTGCCCTTTACCAGCATAGGAACTATGATTACTGTTTTTGGGGCTTATTGAACCTCACCTAAACTTCCACATTCCTCATTATTTTGTGATGGGTTTAGTAGTTTTTAAAGCATTCTAAGATGAATTATATTTGGTCATTTTGATCTGAAAATCCAACTCATTTAAGTATTCTCTTTCCCACACTTTTCTTATTCTAGTCTGACGTCTTTCCTGTGCTTTCCATTCTGTTGATCCAGAGATGGCTTTTTAGTGAAGAGGAGGAAAAGGGATGAAAACCAGCTTTCTAAGCATCACCTTTCAGTATTTCTCCTCCTCTTTACAATATGCTCAGTGTTTTTCTGCCAGTCAGAAAGTCCAAGGTTCTGATTCAGATAAGATTAGCAAGGTACAAAAGGAATGGAAAAAAGGGTTTTTAAAAATGCATTTATTGCATTGTTACACCAACAATTTTCTTATAATCACCCTTGTATCCTCCCTCTGAATCTTATTTTGTGTTTTATTATTTCTTCTTTTGCAACTGCATTTTTGTACTATTCTTTCATATTCAGCTACAATTATTTCCCCTCTTTTCCACTTTCTAATTCTTCATTCTTGCATCTGATACCACTGGATCCAAGAAGTGGTTTGGTAAGAAAAATGTTAAAACTTTACTTCTACAGAACCTTGAATAAACTCTCATCTTCACTCTCAAATCAGCACTTTGGACATTATACAGGTCAATATTTCACTGAAGATGAAATTGGTGAGTACAGAGAGCTTCCAAGGTCCTATAAAAAATATTATTACTAATTTTGTGGAGCCAGGCTCTCCAAAATTAAGGATATGTAAGAACAAAGGTTGCCTAGGCAATTTTAGTGTGAGCTTGCTGTGCACATATATTATGATACAGTTCTTAAATTACACAGCTGCATGCTATTATTTTTCACAGGACCCCTGCCTTAGCCAGTATACCAGATGGGCAATGCTCATTAATAGCTGTTTAGGTATTCAGTATTTATTCTAGTTTCTCAGCATGTGGTCCTTCACTCATTTACTATATATTATTCAAACCCTGCTTTCAGGACATAATTATTTATTTTTTTGCAGGTTTTCCATCCATCACTGCTTGTTGGGGTCTCTAATTTGACACTGATTCTAGGACAATGAATGGTTGGGACAAAATAAGTTTGATCCCCCTGGCTGACCTGTTAGCTGTTTCCTTGATTATCCAGATGCTGAGAGATATAGACTGTCCAGACAGAGCTGAAGAAACAATCCATATGACATTGCTGGGTTCACATGAGTTCTAGCTAAGTCCCACAGATTAATTAGAAAGTGTGATGAAAATTGCGTTCCTGTTAGCTCTTTTCTCAGGTTTCTAGCTTCTTCTATCCCTTTGCTCTCTGCCATCTACTGAAAAAGCCTGACATGGTGCAAAGACTGAATCATTGAAGTGCTGATGCAAACCTGCCCATATTGGAAAAAAAAAAAAGGGAAGGAATGTCTTAACAATGCTACAGTTTGGTCAGACTGAGGTGTGGCTGGTGAGAGTCATAATGCATCAGCAAGGTGGCAGTTAAAATCATAAGAAACAGAAGCTGCAATTGCTGTCTCTGTTCTCTTCCCTACCCTTCTGTGTATTTGTTATTTGTTTTCAAGCAAAGATGATTCCACAACAGCAGTTCCAGACCCATCTCAACTAATTTTATCTCTTGCTCAAAAAGACAGCTAGCACTGCCTTCAGTGTAACACAACAGCTTGTCAAACAGGGTGGTTTCCTTTGAAAATAAATAAATACTTAAGATATCCTCTAGCCTAAGGGAAAACATTGGATATTGTTAGAAGCACTTCCTCAGCCTTTATATTTCAGGGTTTTTTTTTACTCTTTCCCCCTTATTCTACTCTCTCTAAACAATAAAAAATTAACTTTTAAAAGATTTTGGTAGTGGTGAGTAAAGGGCAGATCCTCATACTTTAATCCAAGATGTAACTATTTACTCTTATGTTGCAACATGATAAACTTGATTTTCTGAGTCATTTTCCCATTAAATAACAGTTCTTCACTAAGAGTATATGGCACTTTTTATATCACTGAGTTGCTCTCCCAAAACAGGCAATTTTTCAAGCTGCTACAGTAAAACTCCACAATTATTCTTCTTGAAAACACCCTCCATAAACCAATTAATCTCCAGGAACTCTATATCAGAAAAGTTTCAAAACAGCTGAAGTAGGTCTGGACAATCTTAATGAGCTGTCTCAACTGATCCAGAATACTTGCTAATTTTCTTCCAATGGAGGTGTCACAGCAAGAGGAGGAGCATCAAAAGATTATAAGCCTGGTTCCAATAGCGTAGCGTGGAAATCAGGTGTGGAGGCTGTGGTACTGCCAGCCAGGGAGTCAGGTAACTCAAGGACTAATCCAGAGAGTCTCAAAATTGCCACATAATCTATTTGAACTTCCACATATGAAGCAGATCCATGCACTCAGGAATTGAAGGAAGGTGGCCTCCCCTGGAGGGAAATGCTCATCAGATTTTGTGACTTAATGAGTCAGATAAACTCGTGGTAATTTCCCTTTGGGCCTAAGGAAACTCAAGACACTGCCATTGGAGAGCCTAATCTGAAGCTATTAAACATGAGCCATCCCCAGCTCTCTTGTTCAAATTAGATCAGCATAAATTAAGCATAAATGAATCTGGATTTCTTCCTGAGCAATTAGTTATTGCAAAGTCTGTTGAAGCCACTCAGCATCCTTTTTTGAGAGATTCAACAATGATGAGGCAGAAGAATATTTCTAGTTAATTCATCTATGTCCTTTATTTCATAAACATTTCATTATGTTCTTTATTTCATAAAAAGTCCATACACAGGACTGTGTTTTAGCAGTGTGGTGTGCTTCACACTGGGTAAAGCAAGAGAACAAAACTAAATTTCGCTGCCATTGGCAACACTATGTATGAAGCCAGCGGAATTCATTGCTGCAGGAGGTCAGTGAGTCAAATACTGTGGCGAGATAATTTTATAGCCATCAGTAAATTCTGTAGATGTGCAAGCATAGATAATAGGGGAAGGTTAATTAGATTTCATGCCTCCGAGCATAAAATATACTTTTGCAGGGACCAGTAAGGATTTCTGCCTCCATTTACAGAATCACATTAGTCTCAGTGAAGTTTCTACTCCTGGAGCATCAGAGATGGTTTAACCACTAGTGGAAAGAAGAGATAAGTTCCAGGGCTTAATTTGCAATGCACTTGGTCTTAGCTGAGTACATGGTCTCCTTCTGGAGTGGATTTGAGGAGCTGAAGAAGACATCCAGTGACCACCAATGGATCCCACCATTACCTAGCAATGGACAGTAAGTACCTATGTTTTTGCTTTCCAAGCACTGTGTGGTCATGCAGTATTGTGTGACAATTTTGAAACCAACTAATATGTTGCATCATTTAGAAGAAGGACAATAATATAGCATTAACACTTGCAAAGTGTCTACCAGCCTCTGAAAATCTTGTAGTTTTTTCATTCATTCTTTTGAAACAGCTTTTTTTTCTTTTCTTAGATTTTTCTTTACCCCCCCCCCCCCCCCCCCCC